CTCTCCCATTTCCCTTTAATTAAATCATCCTTATCTCAAACCTTGAGCTCTTTGTGTTGTATTTTCTCCCCCTTCCTCTTTGAGGAGGGGGAGTGAGAGAAACCGGCCATGATAGAACTCAGCTGCCCACCTGAGTAAAACCACCACACCCATCTAGAAACTGATTTAAGGAAACGTGTTTCATACAGAAGAGATGAATCAATGTACCTCTGGCTTCTTCCTCTGATACTCCTGCTGGCTGTTGTCTTCTCAAGATTGTTGGAAGATGACACTGAGTCATCTCCATGCTTCTTTTGCAGTGAAGCTTCCTTGGTAGCACTAGCATTGCTGTAGCCACTTGCACTCTTTTCTGCAAGATAGCGGAAAGTCCTACGGGGCTTAGGTGGTGGGACAGCAGCTGGCTCCTCTTCTTGCCCCACAGCCGCTGAATAAATGTCTTTCATGCTCCTCTCTGCTCTACAGAACGAGTCCACTTCTTCAGCTCTAAGTTCTCTTCCTGTGGAGCCACAGCTCCCTTGCTTCCTCTCCAGGTCCAAGGGAACTGGTGGGGCTTTGCCAGGCAGAAAGGCATCTGCTCTCCTCCACAGCCCCTGCAAGGCATAGAAGCTGCCTGGGGAAGGCACTGCCCCCGGGTCCAGGAAGCCTGCTTGCCACTCTCCATTCTCCTGGGCTTGGGAAGCTAGGCTGCATGCAGAGGACTTGAGGTCATCATGGTCATCAGTCTGCAAGCAGCTCCCTGCATTTTCCCTGAAGTCCAAGCCCAAGTTCTTTGGATCTTTAGACCCAGCCTTTCTGCCCTTCTCTGTATGTTCTGGCTTCACTTTGGATAGAACATCACAGCCTGGATCGTATTTTACTCCAAAGTCCTTCAGGTGCTCTTTCTCTTTGCTGGAGCACCCTCGTGTCCTCCCTTCCCACTGGGAGATCTTCTGTTTGATGTTGCGGCAGTGGCTCCGGGAGAGGGTCTGCACAGCAGAGCGGGAGAAGCTACCATCAGCAGTCCCTGTCGGGTGCATGGTAAGTGCTGACCTGCTTACAAACACCCCATCTCCGGCCTTGCTCGGGTTCACCTGTGCCCTGCATGTACCAAGCTGGCATGAGACTCCAAAGCACCCAGCGGTCTCCAGGAACCCCGGTATCAGAGCTGCAGGGACTGCCTGTTATAACAACCTGAGGACAAAAAGAAGAAAACCACCATGAGCTACGCTCCAGCCACACACATCACCAGAAGCTCTCAGCTGCACTCTGGCCAATTGCTGATAAACATTCCTCCCCAAAACACACGTTCAAGACAGACTTTCACAGCACACATCCCACAAAGCCTGCTTCTGTAGCACACATCAGGGAGGGCTAACAGAAGGAACTAGAGGTCTCAGTGGCTTAAAAATCAAACAGAACATTGCAACAGGAACAAAACACAGCTGGGGATGCCCAGGGTCCAAACTCAAGGAAATTAAATGATTTCATGTCCCTTTGCCACGGACAAAGGGACATGAAATCATTTCTAAACAAAACATGCCAGAAGTATCACACATTTCTCCCCAAGAGTGCCTCTCAGATCCATGCTGTCTGAAGATAGCTTCCACCTCTTTATCCAAAGCGGAGGAATAAAGGCACATTCACACCACGTGATAGGCAGCCCTTACTCTTTTTCCAACTCAGAAAGCCAGAGAAGGTGCTACACATTTTCCACACAGTCTCAAGACAATCCAGTTTCCTGAAACCAAACGTTCAAGGAAAGAATGGTGCCAGCACTGTCCAAGAATAAATGCCAAAGTCAAGCTCACCAGCTGCTGGTGCTACTGGTTCCCTGCAAACCCCCTCACTATAATTATGCTGGCAGGTAATTAGCTAAACAAAGACACTAACACACCACCTTACCTTATCCTGCTGTACAACAGGCGCGAGAACAAGCAAATCACTGATTTGGCAAGTTCTGAAGCAATCTTTTGCACCTTTTATGCAGTTCTAAATCACCTAAGACAACAGATTGCCTTGTCATTAAGTTTCCAGCGTTGGTAGCCAAGTACAAGACAGCTTCTGGTCTTCAGAAGGCTACAGCTGTCCTGGGGGCATGAGGGGGCAGTCAGCATGGCAGCAAGGATCCCTTCCAGAGTTCTCAGCTACTCTCATTCTGTTCAGCTCCAGAACAAACCCCAAGCATTTCTGAACAAAACTGTCACGCTGATGCCTGAACGATGTGGGCAGTACCAAACAAGCCGATTTCATATCAAAATAAGTAATGCTTCAGGAATGTGGCATGCTTAGTCATTTCCACCTCCATTCAAAGCAACTTAAGTTATTAACTTATTTGAAGCTTCTGCATATCGTGCCATGGAATGGAGTCCCATCTTATCAAATACCTGGCAACGTACAGCACAGATGCCAAACACAGCAAGTGTGATGCTAATCTTAACTATGTGGCCAAAGGAGATTAAGTCTGACCACTGTCATGGGTCCTAAGACTTTTATATAGGCAAGAAAGACATGCCTGACTCTCAATCTCCACTGTTTTTCTGAACGGATGAAATTCCGTTTCTTGAAAGTAAGTTTCTACCCATGCTAAAAAAAAAAAAAAAAGTCTAAACATATAAGCTGTAAAGGCTTCCGCAGCAGAGGACATACAGACAACCTGCACTACTTTTTTAAAGGCTTGCTTTTTTTTTTTAACCTGACTTATGGTAGCTAAACACTCAGGTTCGCAATACTGGAAACTGGAGTTGTCTGGGACATGACACCACAGACTGCCTATGTGCCCCAGAAACAGTGCAGCTTCATGTAAGAACTCAGAACCAAGGGGGGACAGAGAGAAAATTAAACCCAAACACGAGTGATCCTGCTGCAATGTCTTGGTGCAGCTCTCAAAAGTGAGATTCTGTCAGCAGAGTGACTCCCTCCGGCTCTCAGGTCCGAGCACCTAACTCCCCCCAGCTGATACCACCCTAAAGCCACAAACACCTTCGCCTTACAAAGGCCACCGCAGGTGAGCTGCCTGGGGCCGGGGCCGCCGCTCATCGCCTTGGGAACATCCCAGCAGCTGCGCTGCGAGGCTCGCAGGGCGCGGGCTGAGGACAGCGCGGGGAAACCTCCCGGACACGCAGCCGGGGACCGCGTCCCCAGAGCACCAGCGCCACGGAGCCTCGGGAGCCGCGTCCGGACGGGGACGGAGACCCGCGCACAGCACCAGGGCTCCGCGCTCCGGGGCAGCTCCTCCAGCCGCTTCAGGCAGGAGCGCTGTGTAAGGCACAGCCCCGATGAACCCCCCCCAGCACACACCCGGCATCCCCGCACGTTCTCTGCGTTTCCCCCACCGTGACAAACCGGGACACGCAGCCAGGGACGTATTTTTTAGGACAGGCCGCCCAGGAGCCTTTTGGGGCCCTTTTCTTCTCTCACCACACGATTATCGCTGCGGGAATTTTTATTTTCTAAACGCTCAGACGGCGGGCAATTCTCCCGACGGGACGGCCGCTCGGCCGCTGCAGAGAAACGCGGGGACGCGGCGGGGCTGCGGGCCCCGCGCCTCCATCGGCCCAGCCCCCCGGGGCCGTCCCTTCCCGGCTCCCCCGGACACGGCCCCGGCTCGCCCGGCGGCTGCTCCCCGCCCCCCTCCTGTTCCGGGCAGGGGCAGGGGCCGGGCGCTCCCCACGGCGCCGGCTCGGGCGTCGCTCGGCCGGGGGGTGGGGGCCCGGCAGCGGGCGGAGCCCGGCGCTGCGCGGACAGCGCGGCCGGGAGGGGCCCCGACGGCCGCTGGGGTCCCTCAGCGAGGCGGAGGAGCGGAGGCACCGGCGCCGCCCGACCGCTTCGGGCCGCGGCCGAGCCCCGCAGGGACGCTCTGCGAGGGCCGGGGCAGGCCCGGCCGCCTCCCCGCCGGGCTCGGCTCCCGCTCGTTCGCTGCCCCCCCCCTGCCCCGCCCCCGCCCCCGCCCCGCGGCGAGGCCCCGGCCAGGCACCACGGCCCCTGCCCGCCTCCGCGGCCGGGTGCCCGCGCGGTGCGGGGCGAGCCCCGGCCAGCCCCGGCCCGGCCCGTGCCGCCCGCCGGCCCCGCACGCACCCGCCCGTCCGGAGCCCGCAGCCCCGCGCTGAGGGGCGCGGCAGCCCCGGCCCGCCCCGCTCCCCGCCCCTCTCCCCGCCCCGCTCCCCTGAGGCCGTTCCAGCTCTGGCTGACGCCGTTTAATGCCCGGCGGCTGCCGCTGAGCCCCCCCCGCCCCAGGTCCCGCCGCAGTCCGCAGGGGCCCGGCCCCGAGGCCCCGCCGCCGCCGCCGCCGCCGCCCGTCCGTGCTCCTACTCGGCCTTGAGGCCCTCGGCGATGAGGTTGAGCTCGTAGCACCAGGTCTCGTAGCGGTAGGCCATGCGGATCTGAGCCACGTTTGTCTTCCGGATGTCGTTGCCTTGCGGCCCCTCCTCCTGGTAGCTCTCCCCCAGGAACTTGGCCTTCTCCTGCCGAGCACGAGGCCGGGCACCGCTGGCGGCGGCCCCCCGCTCGCAGCCCCCCCCGGGGGAAGCCCCGGCAGCCGCCGCGGGGCCCGGCCTGCCCCCTCCCCCAGGGGCACCTACCTGGTGGGACAGGCCGCACTGCAGGACGCTGTTCCTGGCGATCTCGCACATGTCGCAGGTGCTGAGCTTGAAGACCTGGGCAGCGATGGCGTACTCCTCCATCAAGGGCTCCTGCAGCCAGAGGCGGTGTTAGAGGCCAGCTGCTTCTGCCGGCCCAGAGCCAGCCCCTGAGGCCAGGCCCTCCGCAAACACCGCTGGCTCCACTGACAAGCCGGGCCCCTGCACTCCTGCCGCTGTTCAGACAGGGAGAGGTGCTGAGCTGACACAGTACCTTGGTAAAATGAAACTGCATGGGGTCATCTGTAGAAAGGGACACCATGAGGCCCTTCTGGTGGAAGTCAGGCAGTGGATTCTTAGCGTATTCCAGGAAGAGGCTGTTGTTGCTGAGCGGGGACATAGCAATGGGAATTTGGGCGAGGAAGTATAGATACTGCAACACTGGGCTCTGCAAAGGAGAGCAGAGTTGTCAGGTTATTAGATAAAGCTGCTGTGACCTCCACCTCTTCAGGCTCACACCTCAGATCAACCCAGCTCCTCAGCCAAGAGTCGGATGCACGGTGCTTGAGTCACGCAAAAGAGCATGTAGGCAAGCTAGCAGCCTACATGGGAGCATGAGAGACCAATAGAGTTGAAATCTGGATGATTTTAGACCTCAACTGATTCCAAAGATACAGATTTATCCAATTACAGGTCTGTAATGCTGAATCCTTGGGAAATGTAAATACATTTCACAACCGCACCCCCAAACACGCCTGGGAAAACCCAGGGAATCGTGCAATATCTGCCTGAAGCCAGGCTGTCTTCTGTCAGTTGAAAGCAGAGGATCAGCTGTGAACACGTTCTCCTCTGCCACTCCTGGGCTGTTCTGTGGCAGCCTATTCCACTCACCTTCTTGAGGTTGAGACCATGGGAGATGTTGTCTGCTGTCATGAAGGCTGCAAGCAGATGTGTGATGGCCCCAGCTTCCCCACAGTGTGGACGGAAGAGGAACGTGTTCATACCACGCTGCCTAAGCACATGGAAGGAGGACTCAGAGCAGGTAAACAGGGTTAGGTGGCATGTGCTGCAATATCCCTTGACTTCAGGTCCAGCTCAGCCCCTGCCAGTGTGTCCCATAATAACCCAACTTGACCTAAGAGCACATTACTTGTTCTTTCTTCGCTGTGCATGCAATGAACACATCTCTGCAATCCTAATGTTTTTACACCCTAGTCCATCACATTTGCTACTGAGGAGTGTTTGGAAATGCTCTGGGACATGAAGCTCCAAACTACGCTGGTGGCAGAGCAAGGAGGGCCTCTGCCACCTTCTGCCAGTCCATCAGGCAGGTCTCTTAGCAGATCCTGGGCCTCACCTGCGTAGGTTGTTAAGCACCAAGATGTTGGCATACATATAGTATATATAGTAGGTATAGGATGGGTTCTTCTCAGAAGTCCACTGCTCTGGTTTTGGACTTTTAGTGGAGAACATATGTCCGCTGTGCTTGGATTCATCATCCACGCTGTCAAACCCAGTGATCTGCTTGGCAAAGTAACAAAAAAAGCTGTATCTCAAAGCTCCCTACTTCATCGTGCCCAGGTAGGCTGCCTCAACCTGCCCCACTGCAGCTTACCATTGCTTGGCTGTAACCCACACCCCTGCCCTACCCAGGAGCAGAATTGAGGAGTGAGGTTGCAGACCTTGCTCCTCATAAACCCCTTAGCTCTATCAAGGGGTAGAAAGAAAGCTCACATTAAACCACTTCTCCAGGAGGTAAGTGGACAGCATTTCTTACAGTCCCCCAGCAGCCCAGCCCAGGGAGCCTGACCTCTTCCTTACAGCACTTCTGAGCATACATCCTTTCCCAGAATGTGGCAGAAGAGCTGCAAACCCACTGATGACATGTTTCGTGTCAGGCAAAGCCAATGCCCTATTTCTTGTGCACAAACAGGAACATCACAGCTCACCACACCCTGACAACATCATCAGGTAACACTCACGTGGCGTAGAAAGACACTCAGCTCCTTGTGGGTTTGAGGATTTACAGTTGCCTCAAACACAGGAACAAAGATATTTTCCAACATCTTCCCAAAGTGTGGGAGGAATTTCTGAGATCTGAACACATCACTGTGGACAGAGACAGGGATTAACCACTAGCAGAGGAACATGGCCTGCTCTTCCCATAATCCCTTCAAGTAAAAGAGTAAGTTACAGCACACTATAAAGCACAGTGCTCTCAGAACCACAGCACATACTAAATCCTAGGTACTTGGATCATCCATTTCATATTGGGGGAATAGACCCGATGCCTGTTGAACCAGCTGGCTAGCTTGTGCCACTCCTCAGCGGATCGCCCATAGATTGAGAGGCGAGGCTCTGCATACTGGTACTTCGCATCCTCCAGGTCAGAGCCAACCTCCTGAGAACCAAGAGAACAGACAGTGCATGGGGATCTTCCATCCCCTAGGCACAGCAGCCCCACAGATGAAGTGCTTTCTCCTCCCCTATATTCCTACCTTGATGATGGTAGCAAAGTACTCGCCATTGATAGCATTTTCCGTCTTCAGATAGAGATCACGCAGCTCGCTGGCACCCACAGGGTTGTACTTGGCATTGAACTTGTCAAAGCGCTGAAATGTCTGCCGCCCCTGAAGTAGAGGTGATTAGGGCTGCATCCTGCAAACACATGCTGGGTCCAAGCATACCAGCTGGGCAGGGACTGATCTAAAGAACCCAGAAAGCTAGGAGCTGCTAAACCGTACCACAAACACCAATGTGTGCAGTGTGCCATGGGAGTACACGTAGAGAGGGAAAAGCTATGCCTGTGGGGGTGGATGAGAATGATGTAAGAATAGTTCTACAATAAGTGCCCAACCACTTACTGCATGGACGTCCAGGGAATCCACTGTCAGGTCATACGGGTGCAGATTGAGCTGCTGGAAAAGCTGTTGCAGGGTGAGCTGTTTGCCCTTGGAATCATAAACTACGCGGTCAGCATCCACACGGTAAGATTTCTTGATAAAACGCAGAAGGTGTTTCTGGTTCATGCAGGCTGCAGCATGGATGTGCGTGTCCACCTGAGAAGGCAGAGGGACAGCTATCCAGCTTCAGGATGGGATTCTTGGGTACCACCACGGGGAGGCTAACAAACCCCTTAAGTGAGACTAAATTGTGTGGCTCAGCCCAGCCATGGCATAGGCCAAAAGCAGCATCCCATTAGCAGGAGCAATGCAGGTGTCCCAAACCTTGACTCTAATATCTCAGGGAGGGGCAGGTACCACGACAGCTCAGCTGCAGGGTCACTAGGGCTGTGAGCCTTGCCATTTACCTTCCGGCAGTTGTAGAAATCACGGTGGGGGTTGTTCTTCAGCTCTTTCATCTCCTCCATCTCATTTAGCATTTCGTGCACCTGGAACTTGGATGAGAGGAATTTCAGGCGCCGATGAGCATAGGTTTTCCTGGTAAAAGCGAAGGGCAGAACAGTGACTGGACACAGCCAGACAAACGCACCTGGACGGAGCTTTCGCCTGAGGTGGAGGAACTTGTGTTGCTCTAGCCTGCCTCCCTGCGGTGCTTCTGGCTGTACCACAGAGCTCTGCAGGAAGGTCTTGCCAGGTATGAACACACCCGCAGTGGGTGTCTCCAAGCCCTGAATACTGACTTTGCTCAAGACCCCAGCCAAGATTGCTGACAAGGGCCAAGGATGCTTTGGTAGCCAGCAGGCTGCGCATGTGGCCCGGTGGGATCCTGAGGCCGGCCATCCCTCAACTGCTCCCCTGGGGCCTCTGCCATAGAGGTCTAAGTCTGGCAGAAGTTTCCCGTTCAGGCTTCCAGCCACTGGGCAGGTATCAGTGGGTTCCTCCCTCCTTTCAGGGAGAGGAAGGGGCAACTCTAGCTTTTCCCTGGTTCTTCTGTCTGATGGAGCAGTAGCTGTTTGGCTGCATGCAGCCGCGCTAGGCTAGGCACTTACACAGGCCCCTGTGCGATCAGGGCTAAGAGGAAGTTCATGTCATCAACAAAGTGCTCCAGACAGGGGTAGGGCAGGTCCTTTGGCTCCTTTCTTCCAACTGCCGCCTTGTCGCCATAGATGTAAACTACCCCATCCTTCATCTCGACATGGTATCCCAGGTCCTCACCGAGATTTCCAGTTTCAAAGGGATCTTGTCCATCCTTCACTGGCGGGGTGAACACTGGACCAAGGGGAGAATATACCACAGGACACAGGCTGCTGGCCAAAACCCCACAATCCTGCCATGCTCCTCCAGCCCCAGCACGGGGCAGGAATAGCCCCAGTACTGTGACACAGAAGCAGCAGCCTGGGTAAGCAATCTCCCCATGGAGCACTTCACAACCCTTTTCTGACATCCGTCTGTCCCAAGCTGAAGCAAGAGAGCAAAACCCTGCAGATGCCTAAACATACCTGGGCCCACATCAGTTGCCCTCCAGACATCACCTTCAATAGCACGCAGGTACTGAGATGGGGTCCTGGGGAATCTCTGCACAGACTTCTGCATGTATTTCTCCCGAATGCACAAGGCACGGTACAGGCCTTTGCAGACAACTTCAAAATCTTCAACTGTCACCTGCAAGAGAGCTTTTGTTGAATGCAACCACACAACAGGAACCCAGCTGCTTGTGAGAGACCCTGGAGCATCAAAATGCAATGAGCACAGCTACATTTACAGCCAGTTACAATCATCCCCTCCCTCCCACTTCTCTGCCTTTGCAGGACAAAGAAGGGATGATGGGCGAAGTCTTGGACATGGCAAAGGGAAGTTCCTCATGCCAGAACAAATGAGTTTCAGCTGTCATCTCCGCTTACATTCCTCACCTCAAGCTCTAGCTGGCAGTGAAATAGAAGCCAGGCCTGGGCAGAACGCTGGAAGCTATTCTTGGAGCCCAGGCTGAAAACTGAAGCATGACCAACAACTTACACTCAGCCAATATGCCAAGAATTTGTGATTTACTGCACAGACAAGTGTTCTGGGCATTTAAGATTGGTCAGACTGGAGCAGCAAGACAGAATACCAAGCAGCAGTTGCAGCTAGGCACAGTCATGGCAGAAGGAATGTGCCTCTGCATGGATGGAGTTTCAGCCTCCCCTAATGGCTCCTGTGCTATGCAACTCAAGCTGAGCACCCTGCCCCAGTCCAAGAGGGGGCAATTTGCCATCAGCACCTCTTAAGCAGCACAAACACAATAGGAGGCTGTGGAAGAAAGGAAGAGGAGAAGGGGGAATTAGGCCAAGCTGTGCTAACAGTGCTGTCCAACAAGTTCCAGGTGACCCTGCTTGAGCAGTAGGGTGGGACAAGATGACCTCTGGAGATCCTTTGCAACTTCAACCGGTCTGTGATTCTGCCCTATGTGCACAGGTCTCAGAAAGGCGTAGCTGTGTGCAAGCTGGAGCAGGCTGCAGCAGAATAAGCATCTCCTACCCTTCCGTGCCCTCCCCCACTGTACAGAGGAACTCATGGGCAGCATCCAGCATCCCCAGAGACTCCTTAGGGAGTTCAGCTCAAGATCCTCCAGGGATGCAGCAGGACACCATTAGATGCTTATGAGACACAAATTGAGCTGGAAGACACAGACAGTCCCCACTGCACCTAGTGAAGGCTCCTGTGACAATTGGCACTCACGAGGGCCAGGCAAGGACTAGGTGAGGTGATAACCAGCATGGGGAAGTTGAATAGCCATGCAAGTACCTACCCCAGAGGCATAATCCCCTGTGATCTGTACCCTCTGGAAGTCAGGCACCGTCTGGTACAGGGGGGAGGTGGAGATGACCTCATCAATAGTGGACAGCCTGGTTATAGACTTCTGAGCAACAGGGAGTGCCAGTGCAATCGTCTTCAGGCGGAGCATGCGCTTCCTCCTGCCAGGGAAGAAAGCCTCAGGCAAACAGCCCTGACTCTGTGGCCACACACAGGTCAGGGGCACTTACCAGTCATGTTCCAGCTGTGCACATCAACCATCTCACTGGTGCTTTCTGAGCACCTTAGACAGACACTGCCAAGAGTAGAAGCCACCGCACTCTAAGTGGCCACAGACTTTCAAAAGCAC